AGTAGTAGTAGTAGTAGTAGTAGTAGTAGTAGTAGTAGTAGTAGTAGCAGCAGCAGTAGTAGTAGTAGTAGTAGTAGGTAGTAGGTAGTTGGTAGTAGTAGGTAGTAGGTAGTAGTAGTAGTAGTTGTTGTAGTAGAAGTAGTAAGTGGTAAGTAGAAAGTAGTAAGTTAGTAGTAAGTAGTAAGTTAGTAGTAAGTAGTAAGTAGGTAGTAGGTGGTAGTGAGTAGGGAGTAGGGAGTAGGCAGAGGCAGTAGGCAGTAGGAGTAGGGAGTAGGGAGTAGGTAGTAGGAGGTAGGAGGTAGGTAGTAGGTAGCAGGTAGCAGGTAGCAGGTAGGAGGTAGTAGGTAGTAGGTGGTAGTAGTAGTAGTAGGAGTAGCAGTAGCAGCAGCAGCAGTAGTAGGAGGAGTCATATTAGTATGAGTAGTATTAGTAGTAGTAATAGTAGTAGTAGGAGGAGTAATATTAGTAGGAGTGGTATTAGTAGTAGTAGTAGTGGTAGTAGTAGTAGTAGTAGGAGCAGGAGTAGGAGTAGGAGTAGGAGTAGTAGTAGTAGTAGTAGGAGCAGGAGCAGGAGCAGGAGTAGGAGTAGTAGTAGTAGTAGTAGTCGTCGTCGTGGTCGTGGTGGTGGTGGTGGTGGTGGTGGTGCGAGACCTCGAACTGGAGTGTCATTCAGTCAAGTGACCCCTTTAGGGACGACTAAGTGACTGAAAAGCCACAGAGAAGTCAAGTTTGGTCACTTGGAAGGTCCTGAGGTGTTGACGAACACAGCTGAAAAGCATGCTGTTGTTTTTCATGCCAGGTGTTCCCTACTTCTTTGGCCGCGGGGTCGTTTGGCCGTTTGGATAGTAGGCTTTTATGATGGGTTATGATTGATGGGCTATGATTGGGTTTCTTGTGATGCAATGCTTGCATGAAGAATAACAAATTCAACAACATTAACACAATATGATAACATTGTTTGCGATGTTTGTGCAGGCCTTAATTAATTGATGGGTTGTATTGTTGTTTAGGTCGCCACGAGCCAAAAAATGTCCCACTCACCACCGGAGTCCAGCAGTTAATTTGTTCCTAGTAGCTAATTGATTTTAGTTGATTCTAATTCTAATTACTAATTGTTGTTTCTAATAGCTTCTTGTTACTACTAGTAAGGCACTTGTTGCTAGAAGCGATGCACTTGTTCCTAGTAGCTACTTCCAAAGCCATGCTCAAATTGTGCTTTTGTGCAATCATTAGGGGACAACTGGGGTGACACTAATCATGCATATAGAGTGATGAGCATGTATATAGAATCATGCAAAACATGGGAACACACACACTATATACACGCAACAAATACACTCTATACATGCCCCCGACCACTGGATCCCAACAGGTCCCTGCGACTCGTGGGAAAGGGAATGACTCCCAACAGATACCTGAGTTGACTGGTCCGATGCTTGGCCAAGTCCTCTTCTCGGCCCCGAATCCTCGGAACCTCCGATCCTCGTGGTGTTTTCACGGAGAAGACGCGCTTCGCCTTGTCAGGTGGGCCAGCACAGGGGCGACGGCGCAGTGCTCGGGCGTGCGAGGATGGGAGGAGAAGCAAGAAACATCACCCAGCAGTCCCAGTGGGCTGACTTTGTGCAAAGTCGATCAAGATTGACCCTTGAACACTTTCGGGAATTTTACCGGTTGGACGTAGGATGTATTTATTTGCATCGATTCAGATGCAAACTGAAATTGGTTTTATGTGAGCATTGGAGCACTCAGCTAGGACCTCCAAACGAGTGAGTTCCATTTAAATCCAATTCTAGCGGAGACTTTGAGCAGTCTCATCCGCAGTCGCAGTCGTCATGTGTGTATTCAAATCTGGAGGAGCTCCCAAAGACGGGAAGGAAAATAGACCCAAACCATCCAAAACCATCAAAGACCCATTTGTTGAGGATCTCCAAGCAAAACCCAGTGGGCCAGGGATTTCCTTATTACACAAAACCATGCGTCGAGGACAAGCAGAAGGGTTTCCTTTTGTGCACGTTCGCATCACCAGTTCAGCTACTTGGGCCCCTCCAAAAACGACCCCAGCAGCTGATTTGGCACAAGCAACCTTTCCAAGAGTAGACCAAAACAATCCCAAGCATTGGATAGTTGGCATATTCCAGATGTATGAACCTTCATCCACATGGAACATCATGTGTAGCAATGCGTAGCGTAGCAAAGTGTAGCAAGGGCAACCGAAAACCGTACCGGACCGTACCATAATCTTTTGCTCTCTTTGGGGAGTCTGATCCCTACATCAAGGACCTCTTTCACTGGGTCCTCTCTTGCTTTTTGCAGTCGGACCTCATGCAAGGGGGGTGTCGTGGTCTTTCTTCGGCCCAGGCGACTTACGACCGGTCCTTGGAAAACTTTCTTCTAATAGCAATGGCCTCCAAGCTAATAGCCTCCAATCTGCCTTCCCACCCGTTGGATCCGTTAAGGTCCCCATCCTGATCCTGGGCGGCTGCTTCATCGACGGTGGCGAGGGCGGCGGCTTTGGCGGCTATGAGCGGCTCATGCACGATGCTTGGGAAGGCACAGTGCTCAAGGTACTCGCGATTCAGTGGGGTCAGTGCTCAAGGTGTTTCCATATGGTCTGGTCCAGCGGAGTGTGTGGCCAAGGCCTTCAACAAATGACCAAAGAAGCACGTGTAGTTGTAGCATGTTGTAGCTTAATCTTTCTGAAGCTGCAGTTCTCTATATTTGTCGGTTGACCGTTCTGATAGTTCAAGGGAGGTTTCATGGGTATGCTCGGTATGGATACAACTCCCTGTCAGCTAATGTGAAGAGTGTGATCCACTCTGGACTGAAAAGCACATCATGTTCCAGTGATCCTTTGACTGATAGAAACATGTCTTTTAAGGTGTATCACCACATATCATGCTCCACCAAAGTTTTGGACCATTTCAATTAAATCGATACATTCTAACTTGCCCACAAAGAAAGCAGTTTTGGACCAAACTGAGAGGCCCAATCTTCCCAAAAGGCCAACCGGCCAACATCACTTCTCATCACGGACATCCGCGTCGACGGGAACGGCACCGGACTCCCCCCTGGTTCGAGGTTGGTAGCATCATGAGGTGAGCACCACCAAAACCCTCTGAGAGGCTGTGGATTCATCGGGGTTCTTGGATTCAAGTGATTAAACCAATTTGCACACCAATCATAAGCAATTAACATATCAAGCATTTCGTATCGAAGCCACCCCAGCAGGGGAGGCACTCCGCAGATCTCCCAACCAATCGACGAAGACCGCATGTCTCTCCACGTCCTTCCGCCGGTGGAGGGCATGTGGACTTTGAGACGCAGGCCGCCAGTGGTTCGCGGCTCGAAAAGGGCTCCAGTGTGTTGTCGCGGTTCTGGTGCGGTATTGCGACTGGGATCGATTTGTTTGATGAGGCTTCATATATATATATAATATCATTCATATGCAAGTTTTTGTACCCAGGCTTTGAGCTGTGCTCCCCCATATTCTCGGATGTTCATTGATCTTCGTACGAAAGAGGATCAAATCCGGATCCTTGTGTTCTGTGCTCTCTGAACACTCATGAGTATATAATAAAACCAGGAAACCCAAACAATCACAAAGAACATCTCAATTGCCATATTATAACGAACCATTTGTTTCTGCTTGTTGTGGGTTCCAGGAGGAACTTGTCCTATCTCACCTGATGCTGACTCTAAAAATGAGTTCCTTTGAGAGGACGCCGCTGAGAGGACGCATCGAGAAATTAAGTGGACAATGGGCCAAACACTGTCCAAACAAGGAGGTCAACAGCGATGCCCTTTGCTCCTAGTAGCGTCCTTGCTCCTAGCAGTAATGCGAGGAGCTGCTAGTAGCTTCTTGCTCCTAGCATATTGATTTCACCAAGATTGGCGAAAAGGACAAAGATCACCTCCGACATACACTCCCTGGGATCGAGGTGAATGGCATGGCCCCTTTCGTTCGGATGATGATGTGAAATCAGACCAAGGTCCCACCTGGTGTCAAACCCTCCCAAAAGGTCCCTCCGTTTCGGAACCGTCTCATGTCTCACCTTTTTCAGGTGAGGTGAGGCGCACCACACAGTTGCACGTTCATCGCTACTAGGGTGGAGGCCATTGGCCATCGCTCTTAGGTTGGTGCCCATCGCTAGGCCTGTATAGGGGGAACCTGCCCTGCTAGGCCGTGCATTGGAAGCCTTGGGGCACTCAGATGGACGAGCGAGGGAGGCGCCAGCGCTCGCGGTGCTCGAGTTGGACGTGTGAAAAGCGGTGCTCGGGGTGCGTTGGGCCACTGGATGCAGACCTATACCCTAGCCTTCAGTTGGACCATTTGAGTGAATGGTAGAATATGGTGTTGTGCCAAATCCGTGGTAAAACAATGTAAAACAATGGTTGTTTGGTAAAGACATGTAAAGACCATTTAGAAAACGTCAATAAGTATAAATAACAACGTCATACAATAATGGTTGTTGGATGTTGTTGGAATTACCACGGTACACAGCCCATTTCCGGTGGAAGGGGGTGAAATGTGGTCCTTCTGGACTTTTGGAGTGATGATGTTGCGCCTAGACACAGAAGGTGGCAGAGATTTGGCAGAACATGCATAGAACATTATACATATTTGATCATATTGTATGATGTCACACGAAAGAAACACACGATATATCTACAATGTGATCAAGTTATACATAGATGCACATGAGAGTGCATATGAGACAATGAGGTGATTCTCTTGGTGTTGGATGATGAACCTGCAAGCGAACCATTTATTCGGCTGCATTTGGATGCAACCTGCAAGTCACTTCGAAAGGCCGACCAGTTGGTCACTCCACTGGACCTCTACTTGTAATCCAAAAGCTACATGAGCCTCCTGTAGGTCCTTCAAGGCGATCCCTTGAAGACGCCAAAGGGAAGCTGGCGTTTCTGTTGTGTAACTCAAATAGGGAGAGACTTCCCAGGCGTTTTTGGCAGAAGACGGACATAGACGAGTGTACCGTACCCATAGGGCGGAGGGATTTCCCTATGAAGTACACAGATCGACAGACCTGAAGTTCGGCGCTCCGGAAATTCCAGCCGAGCGGACGCAGACAGTTGGTCTCGAACTTCAGCTCCGGTCAGTCTGATGGGCCAAGTGAAGGAAGACTGAGCCAAGTGCCAAGTTTTGGTTTCTCAAGTGTTGGGTCAGCAGTGGCAGACAGCGAAGGAGCAGCTTTTCCAAGTGACGGTCAAATCCTCTTCCCCTGCACCTGTCAGCTTTTGCCACTTGCAAACGCGGTGATATGATTACACAATCTTAAACATGATTCAACGCAAGAAAGCTCAAACAAACGGGTTCTGTCACTCAAGACACCAAGAGATGAGAATTCACTCCAGACTTGCTGTTGTGTCAAACAACGGATCCTTTTTGAAGGGTTGAAGTCTGTAGTTGTGATTTCACCTGGTGCTGACTTCTTCAGCAGATCTCCAGAGCGGACATCCTCGTCTCCTCCAGCAGTTCCACATCAAATTTGTCTTTAGATGTTTTGAGTCTCATCCAAGGAGTAGAATGTGACCAGGGCACCTCCGTTGGTTCGCCCCAAAACCATCCGTTGGTTCGGCAGTCCCGCCGTCTTCATTGGCTCTTTTGGTTCTGCTGCCCAACGCCAACATCTCCAGGCGTTGGGCACGGCTCGGGATGGACGTGGCCAGCTGCACGAAGGAGCGCGACTCGCACCTGGTGGCGTTGCTGCCAGGCCAGTCGCTCCGGGGCCGCCCTCGCCGTCCGGACGCTCCGGTGGTTCACGATGCGGAGCTTGGCAGTAACAAGAAGCGACGCACGGTGGAGGCCATCGCTAGTACGTAGGTTGGAGGCCACCGCCATATCTTAAGAAGCTACGAACGTAGCTCCTGGCATTACTATCTAGAAGCTGCCAGTAACAAGTGCATCGCTACTAGTAACAAGTGCCGCGCTAGTAGTAACAAGTGCCTTACTAGTAGTAACAAGAAGCTGCCAGTAACAAGTGCATCGCTACTTGATCCCTGCCAGTCTGCCGAAATGGGCCGAACGAAGGTCCTCGACGGTCATCGACGGTCCTCGATGTTTGATCCCAAAGATGCCGGAAATGGATCCCTTTTCAAGCACTCCAATGTCAACTATCATCAACTATACATGGAGTGACGATTTAACACATGCACATTCAACCAAATCCGGAAAGTCTCACTACTTAGTAGAGCTCGAGACCCAAAGCATTTTGGCGCGACAATCCTGGAAGCACCCATTTTTGCTTTCTTGCCTATCTTACCCTACCCAGGAAAAATTGATAACCATGGATAGCCATGCGGACAACGTTCGAACCAATGCTGGAATTTCTTTTCCCCACTCAACCCCAAGCCGCAGTGGAATAGGTCTGGTCAATCTGAGTCAATATATACAATGCCTTTGTCTTTCCAGAGAAACGTCTCGTGGTTTTTGTTCGGTATCTCCGAAAAGGCGGATTCTCCCCTCGAGCTTGTGACCGAATCCTGGCCGGTCCCGTACCTTGACCCGGTGTTGAACACTATAGCCTTATAGCTCATTTTCTTTCAGAGCGGGTTGGCGTTGGGTAGGGATGTAGCATTTATGTTGGTCAGATGACACCATATTAAACAGGCGATATTTTTGTCTTGGGGGAATCAGTACACCTTTTCGTCTTGAACCAGTGCACTCCCGCAGACGCACCGCAGACGCACCAGGGCACCCGTCGGTGTCCGTGGCACCGCTCTGCGCTCCGGAGAATGCCGAGAGCTTGCCATGGCGCCCTGCCCAGGCTGAATCCGATGGGTTCTTTTCTTAGTATCCCCACTGGGCTCTGGCGATGGTGTATATATATATATTAATATACCAACATACAACACGGCGTTACTTTTGTGGCCTGTTCAATGGTTTTTGGGTTGTAACCTCTACCGGGTCCCAAGTTGAAACATACTATTTATATACCACTGTGACACTTTGGAAGGGTTGTTGCGAAGAAGATCGCGGGGCGATTTGGAGATGTTAGTTATGGGTCAAATGCACGCAAATTCTGGATGTTGTTTTTGCTGCAAAAAGGGTCACCCAATGGATTCTGTTAGGGTGTTCACACACCAAAAACTCTCCGACACATGTGGATACCCCAAACATTATCAGAAAGTGGGGTGTCCGGAGAAGAAATTAAATTGGTTTCGACAATCGATCCAAATGATATACTTGACGGAAGATGTGCAGAAAAAGAACCATAAATCTGCACATTTGCCTCAAGAACATCCTTGGAACGTGACAGATCCAAAAGTACCTATACCACACCTTACCGACCTTACAGAGTAACCCACAATGTCACATAGTAACCCACATACATTCACCTAGAGCCTGACAGACCGCTATTTTTGGATCACCAACCGCCCATATTTTATGGTCCATGGATGTCCATGGTCTTTGTGGGGGTTCTAGGCACACAAGGAAGAAAGACCGCCCCCAGACACAATCCTTGTTGGTCCCCCAAAAAACCTTTGGGATTTGATTCGACCATGTTCGACCCCAGACCCCTCCGGTTCCAGGGTTTGAGGCCTCCAACCTATGATCGCGATGGCCTCCATACCTAGATCTAGGTATGTTTGGGGTACCCGCGTCCAGACCTCGGGTACCGGGTCTTCCGATGGGCGTCTCGCAGGAGCCGCACCTTTTGAGAGAGGCCTTAAGGCATCACTGGAGCCGTTCCATCTCAGCGACTGGGACGGCGCCCACGGGTTCAGTCGGAGTGTGCAACGATCCACCAGCATGGAGAGTGCCCTGCTCTCCACCCGGCGGTCGGTATACGGGAACATCGGTTAAGTTAAGTGTTTTGTGTTTTTTGATGGTGTCATGACTCGCAGCCATATGACGAACCTTGAAGGAAAATAAGGAATATTTGGTTGTTTGGGTTTGTAAGCACAAGATGAAATAGACTAGAAGTAACTGGTGGTGACTTGGAATGATTCATTTTGGGCCCCGGATTTAACGTGATTCAATCATCATGTTCAATCATGTTCAATCCTCGTATATCCTTGTGTTCTGTGCTCCCCGCTGGGTCAACCGTGGCTTCGCACCGTTTTTTTTACGGGCACAGATCGACCTCACCTTTCCAGATCTTGTGAGGTGCATGTGAAGAGTCCAAAAACGGTTTAAATCCAGTTCATCTACCATCCACATGATAAACCATTAAATGATTCAATATGATTCCATGTGATTCATGTTCATTGCTTTGATGAGGTGAGGTATTTTGAGGCCTGCTGGTTCCTTTTCCCACCCAGGTCCAAGATGGCTATGGCCAGTGCCACGTCCGTCTGAGCACAGCACGGCGAGCGGTGCCACGCTTGGTGTTGGCCTTCGATGAAGGCGGGCACCTCGCAGGTTCGGTTCAGTTCTCCCATGTTCAGCTACGCACCCATGTTGGATTGCAGAGCTGGATGTTGGAATAGGTCATTGCTTTGATGCTGGCGGATGTCGACCTTTTTGGAGCACTCTCCGCGCGGTTTGACCCAAGTGTTCGGAGGCATTTTGATCTCCAGCTTTGAGGAGTGGCAGAGGCGTGCTTCTGGGGGGTTCAGCCAGATGCTATAAGTGTGATGCTGATAATTTGCGAAAGCGATGAATTTAGGAAAAACTGTGCGGAATGCTGAGGCTGTTTGTTTTGTACTTCTCAGTTACAATAACAAAATCTAACAAGCCAACACATGCGTTGGATGCCAGCAGACACATACCTTTGGTATCCGGTTCATCCTGGCGTGTGGCTTCTAAAGTGCGATTGGATACAGAAGACATCCGAACTAGTAACAAGAAGCTACTACGTGGAGGCCATCGCTATTAGGTTGGAGGCCATTACTACTATAGTAACAAGAAGCTACTAGGTGGAGGCCATCGCTATTAGGTTGGAGGCCATTACTACTATAGTAACAAGAAGCTACTAGGTTGGAGGCCCTTGCTGCTAGGGTGGAGGACATCGCTACTAGTAGACATCCTATCATACCGTATCAATCGACAAGATTCCTGGGTTCTGCTGGTGGCACCACGGTGGCTCGCAGTAAGGCAATGAATTGTATTGGCACCCCGTGGCACAAAGTATGCTTTCCGGGCAACTTCTTTTGTTGAAACTTACATTCCTCAAGCATGCAGCGCTTGTGTGTACCCTCCCACTTCCTATCCCAGACTCCCCCAGACTGCCATGGTTCGACAACATCCAACATCTTCCAATCCCATAGACATCATACTTCGATACTTTCAACAACGAAAACAGGTCCAGAATCAGTCCCCCGACGGCATCTGTCGATGAAAACATCTATGCCAATATACCAGGTCCATCCAATGGGTGTCCTGGCTGGAGTACCCTGCACTAGACAGGAGGGTCCAGGTATAAGCAGTTAGATCCGTCGAACGTCTCAGTCTTTGCAAGGCAAGTGACCTTCCTTTTGCTCGTGGCTTTACGCCAATCACGCCGCCCAGTGGCGGCGCTGCCCGTGGATGTGTGGCATCAAAGGATCCTTCCGGCGGTGCTACCAGGTGCGGAAGGGTTTGCTGTGTGTTTGTTTGTGTTTGTTTTTTTTTGGCAGATGCACATGAGGGTATAGGTTTTTGCACAGGAAAAGAGAGTTATGTCATGTAACATTATATATAGATGATTTTCTTTTCAGTCATTTAGGATAACCCCCACAGAAACAAGGTTCATATTTATTGGACAATGCATCAATTTGCCAAGGATTCGAGTGCTTGCCAACAAATATCCATTAATACAATACCTACTTGATGTCCGGAAATAGCTTTATGTTCAATTGTTCGACTAGAAGCCACTGCCGCTGCCAAACAAGGGTGTCAGTTTCCATTTGAAGAGTTTCACATGTTCATTCTGACCATCCATCCAGCCACCCAACATGTTTGTGTTGGCAGGAGTGCTAGTCTATCACCAAGTTCTGTCCTTTCAGCGATACTTAAGTGTTCTCATGCTTACCCGGACTTCACCCGGTTCCCCCACTTTTTTGTGTTTCATCCATCAAGTCCAGACACAAATGTCTTGTCAGTGATGGGCCATAGCATTTGTTCAGCAGGTCTTTTTTTCAATACATTGGTATACAAAATTGTAACCACCCACACAGAAGCAACGTGAGGTCTCTGAAGCTTCTACCTCGAGGTGGGACACCGTCGAGGACGGTTGTGAAATTAGGACGGTCAACTGAGACATGCCTAGACTTCATTTGCCAAATTCATGTGTTTGATGAAATGCATTTCATGTTTTCCGCCTCAGGTATGTGATCCAATGAAGGTCCAAGGGAACTTGACTCCACCTGAGCAGT